AGTCGTTAAAGGTAATCATTAATCATACAAATACACATCGAATCGTAGCATACAAATAGATACATACATCACATATCACGAAATTTAAATATTCTTCTTAGTTTTGGGTATTGATGATCACGACCGGTGATCTATGCTCTTATGTTAGCATATTTTCACTGGTTGTTTTGTTGATTTTTTCAATGCTCAACTAGGAAAAGTTACCGTTGTTGACCAGGTGAATTTCGTTTTCTTTTTTTTCTTATCTTCTACTTTTTTTCATCTGTTTTTTTCTTTTTTTTTTTTGATATAAATTCATTTTTCAAGATTTTTAATATAGACAAATTTTATACTATTATCAACAAATATCATCAGTGATGTGTGATGGTCACTTTTCTAGAAACATTAATTTGTCGACTTTTGATTGTCACTCTTTTACAGACAATAACTGTTTTTTGTTGCAACTTTTATTACTGTTAATTAAAAATGATTTTAATGATAAAGTTTTGCATTTTAATGTTCTTAGTTATATTCCAAAAAAAAAAAAAATAGAAAAAAACTCCCGACTCTTTTTTTTGCTGCTTTAAAGCGCTATAGCTAATTTATAAATTCTTAAGGTATTCCTTGTCTTGGACTTTATCAACTCTGTAGAGGTTAGAAATTTGTATCATATTGGAGTGAGTATACTGAGTTTTCTAGTTTTTAGACTAGTATTCGCAAAAAAGTATAATTTTAGCTTACAATTTACAGTCTTTTTTTCTGTGCTGAATAGTTGCTGAATTTAGTTAGGACTATTATTGAGACCAGTAGACTGTGTTGAAAACTGAGCAACACACTGATCAAACAAAACATAGCAAATAGGTACAGTTAGTAACGTCTACAAAGTATTGTTTTTTCCTCTGTGCCCATTATACAACAGCAGATATTTCATAAAATAGGCATGAACCCAACAAATATGACTTTCAACAGTTTACTGTTTACCTCCAATTTAGTTCCTTATTCTTAATGGCTTTAACAGTTTTGTTCTTATTACTAATTATTTTTTCTTTATTGCTATATAAAACAGAAAAAATAAGCAACAAGTTTTAATATATGTAAAAACTTTGAATATTTTAGAGAATTCGAAAAAAATTCACATTGGTTTTATATCAAATCTACACTACTTTTGTTGTTTTTGTTCTTGTTCTGTTTTTAAACTTAAGGTTCTGTGTAATTCTAAAAACAAACAAACAAACAAACAAAAAAAAAACATTTTTTCTTTTACAACTTAAGTATGAACGTCGATTATGTTGGGACTATTTTTTTGCATTTAGTTTTACTTTTTTTTTTTTGCAAAAAGTCTGTACTAAAATTTCAATCATCAGTAGTTCAATAAATGGATTTACCGCCATCATATACCTGTGGTACGCTACGGATGTCTGACATCAGTACAATTCTTAGCGTTGATGAGCTGGCAAAAAATGCAGATTCAACGCCAACAAATTGGCAAAAATCTGTTTTTATGGCACCCAGAGTTCGAATACAACCTGGACCAAAATGCTGCTGGTTCAGTCTTACAAAAGGTATTTGAGCTATATTGTATAAGCATTCTTCTACAGAACTATTTTGTTAATAAAAATACTGCTTTGTTTTTCCAAACAAATAACTGATAAAGTATTTGAGCTAATAAGTGTTTATGTATTTCAGTGACAATAAGTTGTGCAGCAACTGCCGGAATAATGGCTTTATTATTTGCTGGTTTTTTAACATTTCGAATAATATCTGCATTGGTTACCTCTGGTGATCTATCTCCACACCTAAAATTTTCTGGTAATTTTTTCTTTCTGAGTCATTCAGAAAAAAAGTGTAACGTTCAAAAAATATTAGGTAAATTCTTTTACCTACAGCAATTCTTTGTCTGTGGGGAAGACAATTCCACAGATCAAAGACTGTTAAGTGTATTCTTCACTTGAACACAAAAATTCTTCTTCCTTTTTTGCTAAAAGTGTCAGCAAAACAGGCTAACTTTAGTACCTCATTGAGGGGTTTATTTCGTTTTACTTTGCTGTCAAAAAAAAATATTTTTTTAGTACATATTTACTGACAGTGATTGACCCATTTTTAACTACTTACTCTTTGTTTTTTGAAATTTCCATCACTGATATTTAAAAACAAAATTTTAGTCTTTTCTGTTTATAGCTGTTAAAAATGAAAAAACCTACCATTTGTTTTTTGCAAATTAAACTACTTTATAAGAAGTGAAACATTTAGGTGTATTGGTAATTACCGCATTGATCTATTCAACGTTTGCTGCAATTCTTATATATGGCGTTATTCGACGTCGGCATCAATATATGTTGCCGATGATAATCATGACGATATGTTTGACCATTGCTTCAATTGGAACTGTTGTAGCCATAACGATCAGTATGTTTGAAAATATTCAGGAAGAAGTGCAAGAGCATAAAACAGAGAAACAGTCTTCTGTGATGCGAATCGTTATGTTCAGGTAAATATTTGCTTAAAATAGCAGATTTTCATTGTAAGACATAGTGCTGATAGTCGTTTTTTCTGTACTTCTGTTAACATTTTGAAAAAATGAGTGCTATTCAAGACTTGTTTTATATATGACACTTGAAACTGGTCTTGATTCTTCATAAAGCGATAATCCTCTAAGCCGCAAAGCTTAGCATATCAACAATGCTAATTGAAAAGAGGCTTTAGGTTAGTCCTAATTGTTACGATAGTAACAAAAATTATATTCGCAATATGCTATATTCGATGTTATCGTCACATCAAGAAAGCTGCCAAAATGCAAACACCAATTTTTGGTGCACCATTGATAATGACTTAATCCTCTTGAAACTTGCTGTCAATCACTTACAAAAACTTCTCTTAAACTTTTTATTTATGTATGTATATTTGAGCTATGTCTTGGATTATATGTCTTTGTAAACTGTTCTTGCCAATCAAAAATTTTTTTTGTTCTTCATCTGTGTAAAAATTGTTCAGTTACTGGTGACTAATGCAATATCTCAATAGTTTTGTTTTTAATACTTATCTATAGCCCTTGCTGAATTTTTTACTTCTGTATGCAAATTTGTACTGACGTAACTTCATGTTTGCTTCAGCTTCCATCTTTCTGTTTGATATTTGCAAAATCCAATAATTTATCGAACACTGAAGTGTATTTATCTTTATGCATCCATGACAGCAAATTTCTTCAGTCATTTTTAACTATTTTTTATTTTATAAAAAAACAACGAAAGACTTGTAAATAGATATACATAGCATATTTGCTTACAATTATGATTATCTGAACCACATACTGTAACAGATCTATGGCATCCTGCGAGAAGAGTGCATTCTCTGATGTATGTTTTTATTGAAATTTCAGATTAATTTGAACAAATTTTACTTTATTCTCATGATGTTTCAACAAATTTAATGTTATTTATTAAAGCATAATTAATAACTTTTCTATGCCTTCTGGTGTTTTAATTACTGTTGCCTTATGAGAAATAAAAATTACTGATGCTGGAAGCACAATTATCAACTATGGCTTCCGATTTCATTAAAGCATAGCAGTCGAAACTGGGTAAAAAAGGCAGCAAACCCGCTAATTCGTAAGCATGAGTAACATGTAAAAGAAGAGCAACATTTTTTGTTGACACATACTGACAACCTATTAATGTAAGAAAAACTCAGAATTGTTCTTTGCCTTAGTGCGATATTTCAACGTTGTTTGCTTGATGCATTACTGGTAACAATAGTAGAAACCGGTGATGTAAAGCAGCTAACGTCAGAAGCGATTTATTGGACAGTTCAGGTCAGTCTACTCACATCTTAGCAATTTCTTATAACATTTAAGGTTATTCTTCTGCTTGATACTCTGAAACAATTGAGTGGCAAATAGCTTTAGTTGACTGATAATTGCTGTCTGATGCGATAAAACTGTGTGATGATATATTCTTGATATTTATTGTATCTTATAACAGCAATGTTTATCAGTTCAGTAAGCAGTGTTCTAAAAAAAAAGTCAAAACTTCAGCTTAAGAAACCTTTCAATTAACAAAAATTAACAAAAATTAACAAAAAATGAATTTGATAAATCAGTTTTTGATCTCAATTAAGAAAAAAAAAAGTAAGAAAAAATGCAAAAGAATATTCAAAAAAAAGCAATATATAGCATTTGTAATTTACAAGAATTAATAACAATCTTAATCATTTCAGACAATATCGTTTTTTTATTAAAGCTACAAATTAATCACCATTTAAAAAGTGCTTTTTTATTTTTAGATAGTATGTGCCTTAGCAAAAAAATGCTTCGAAAAATAGTTTTTCAAAGACTTGCAAAAGCGGTAAAAATTATAATGCAGTAGTAGGAACTCAACAAAAAGATTCTCTAAACAAGTTTCTTTAATTTTTTTTTTTTTGATAGTTTTAAACAACAAATTTTAAAATAGCGGCACTTTACTTGGTAAAAAAATGTTTTGGGAGAATCTTCCGTCAGGAATTCAGGACGACTATATGAGAAAAACAGCAAAATATAGATGCATCATGCTAAAGCAAAATAAAAAAAGAATCTGTACTTCAGCTGCTCACAGAGAACAGATAACAGAAGTATAAAAAAACAAAGTTTTTACAGAACTTTTTACCAACTTAAGTATTGCTTAACTTGGCCGATAAAATACTGTTGAGGTAGTGTTAATTAATCTCAGTTCCTCGTTACTGAAACTGTGTAATTACTCTGTGTAATTACTGCTTTAAGTATCGTTTCTCTTCTTCTTATAAGAAACTTATAATTTAGTCTCGTTTAGTTTAGTTTTTTCTACAAAAGAATAAGCAAAAAAAAAAGTGAAACAAGTGTGTACATTGATAAAGATTGATTCTTGCAGCAGTTGAAAATTAGTGCTATTACATATTGATTGACTAGAAAAAGAAATACGGTTTCAAAATGCTCAATACAACCTAAAGTATCTGATCTTTGAAAATATTGACATAGAGAAGTGATGTCATCGAGACTACAAGTTGTGGCTGTAAGTGGCAAATATCAGGTGAATTTTACTTTATCTAAAAACTTGTATAATATTACAGCAAATAAGACTTCATTCTACATTCGCGTACCTTTTTTTTTTACTGCAAATATAGCTTTCTTAGGTAATTGAAATCACGAACCTAAGTACGATAGACTAAAAAGTTAATTTACAAACATTTCCTAAAGCTTTATAAGTTTTGACTAAAAACAAGAACATCGAGAAACAACTACTAAAAATATTAAAAATAATCAAAATTTCAACGATATGTTTAAAAAAATTCGAAAAATTTCTTTTGAAAATAGCACATGCAGTTCTATAAGCGGAATTTGACCAAAAGAAAGTTTAGTCAAATAGTTGGCAAAAAAAAAAAAAATTCCCAAAAATTTCTCATACATGAATCTAAAAGCTGAAGAATTTGCGCAACTTAATCTGAATTAAAAAATGAAAGCAACAACTGTCAGCAGTTGCAATTCTGCATCATTTTAGAACTAATAAATAACAGGGCTTTCAAAGCAATAGTACTGCTAAATGTAAGCAATTCTACCTAACTTATGGAATTAGCGAAAATAAAACTGAGACGTCTTTCAATAAACTGTTTCGGCAATAAATAATTCATGAATTTTGCTCTACAAATTTTCTTTGTAACCATTTTTTTGCCCATTCTTCTCGACTTTTCTTTAACCATCCATTAATGTGTCTTTTTTTTTTTTTTT